GGCACGGGGGCTGCCCGAAGCCGGTAGCGCTCGGGCTTTGGGCAGCCCCCTTGCCTCCGGACCCTGCGCCGTCGGAGCAGAGCAGCTGGAGCCCCGGAAGGGAAGTGCCTGGCCGGCGGCTCGGGGTCCGGAGGCACGGGGGCTGCCCGAAGCCGGTAGCGCTCGGGCTTTGGGCAGCCCCCTTGCCTCCAGACCCTGCGCCGCCGGAGCAGAGCAGCCAGAGCCCCGGAAGGGAAGTGCCTGGCCGGCGGCTCGGGGTCCGGAGGCTGCCCAAAGCCGGTAGCGCTGGCTCGGGCAGCTTGGCTCTTAAACAGAGCCGAAGTCTGAGTCAGGGGAGGAGCAGAGCAGCCGCGGGAGAGGAAGTGCCCGGCCGGTATTTTTCCCGGACATGTTCGGCTTTTTGGCAATTCCCCCCGGACGGGGGTTTGATTGCCGAAAAGCCGGACATGTCCGGGAAAAACTGGACGTATGGTAACCCTATTTAAGGTCAGAAGGGACTACTGTGATCATCTAGTCTGACGTCCTGCACACTGCTGTTACTGACATGTTGGGCCTACATCGGGAGGCAGTTTCTCATAGCAGAGGGCTCTTTAATTCAGCACCTAGACGCTGGAGCGGGACACATTCATACTGGAAGTAAGGCACAAGTTTTTAATGGTGATGATAATTAATCATTGGAACAACTCACTTAAGGATGGGCTGGATTCTTCATCCCTTGAAGTATTTAAATCAAGCCTGGATGGCTCCTGCTACAATTAAGGCACAAATCAGGGACACTCCGTTTCCAGCGCCACCTAAATCAAGACAGCCACCCCAAAACCAACTCAATCCAAAGCTTTAGCAACATGGACCTGCAAGACAACTGACCACACCTCCCCAGCTGATAATGACAACAGGTGTGTGACAAACATGCAGGCCCCAGGAGGCATTTGTGTGGGGCCCACAGGTGTATTCAGATTCTCCTGACCCTCAGCTTACAGTTAAAGAGTAAGTGGCTAAGCCTCATGGCTGTAGCGATAACCTTCCAAAAACAACCTGAGGGTAACCAATGCTACCTGAGTCCATCTCTTGGAGACGGAGGAGCTGCCACAAGTGTGACTAACAGCACCACTGCCCTGAGTCTGCAGAGAGCCTGAGCCCATCGCTCTGC